GAAATGGAGAACAAGCCAGATGTTATGACTGATAACAGTTTAACCTCAAAGTTATGACGGTGTGACGTTTCCTTTGTGATATTTGTGGGGCAGCGCAGTGTGAAGATGAAAGTAAAACATATTTCACACGCCAGGAGCCTCATGAGGGCCGACGCCAGCCTCATGCTGACTAAAACTAATAATTAGTTGTTGTTTCTTTCCAAACTAGAAAAATTTGAATCACATACATGGATGTCCCTCACCAGGATTCATCCGCTTGCATTTGAACACCCTTTGCTGTGGAGCCAATGTTATGTTACTATTTTCAAAGAGAGGGGAGAAAAAAAAGCGAGAGATGGAAACGACTGTGTTGGCGTAAAGCTATGAATGCCATAAGTGCAGAACCAAATGTTCGACCAATAAAAGTCTATTGGGATCAAGTTGTACTGGTTTCTCTGAAGGTGGATGTAGCCAATCACACGGGCTCTGCCACGCCCACTGAGATCGTTAGCACCATTAGCAAGTGCAACACTGTCAGATTAAATCAACACAGAAACAAAAACACAGACTTCAGCAGATCAGGAAATTGTTTCTGGGTCAGCAATGTTGCCAACTTGCAGGAAGGTTGTGTTCTTTCTGAGAGCAGCAGCACAGCGTAGAGGAAAACCTGAGGCCTTCTGAACTTTCTCTCTTAAAAGGGTTTGCTGACGGCAGCCGTGAAGAATCACAGTTAACTGGATTCTGCTCTCTGTGCGTACACCTCTCGTCTTTACCTCGTCCCCCTCTCTGAAGTGCTTCACGTCCAGGCCGCACTCCATGATGACCCCGGACACATCCCGGCCCAGAACGAGAGGAAACTCACTGTCCGACTGCTTGATTCTCAGAGGATCTCTCTTCATGGACAACGTAGCTGCGCCATAGCCACCTGACGGGGAAAGAGTTTATGATTATTACATAAAGATTTAATGCCGTTTATGAATGTCAAAGTAATTCACCAACTGTAATTTTCAGCTCCACATTTTCATTCTTGGACAGTTCAAAATAATCCTTTATCCTGCCCCTCAGTCCTAAAGCGTCTCTTAAAGTAATTTAGCAACATAATTAAAAGGAGCATGAATCCAAAACTTCCTCTTCAAACTTCCTATAATTATTACTACTTTCAAATTCACGCGTGCAGCTCCTCAAGGATCCGTTGTCGGTCCTCTTCTACTTCACAGAGCGTTCATCACAGATGAAGTTTATCATACTGAAGCATTACTCAGATACAGCAGATAGAGTAGACGGTTGGCTGGAGTGTTTACATACT